TATATATAGCAAATTGTACCAAAAATATGCATATCACTCACATTGGGCTTTCATTGAGTTTTTGTTTCTTTCTTAATGCATAAAACCACAGATTTTTGGGTAACTTAGATTCTATTAACAAACATCCAGCCATTTCAAAAAGTGTCCTCCAACTCTGTTCAGCGACTCCGTTCTTATGTGGAGAATAAGAACAGGTTTTCTCATGTTTAATGCCTTCATTTATTAGGAGGTTTTTGTAAACATCAGAAGTAAATTCTCCACCATTATCTGTCCGAATTATTTTAAATTTTCCATGCGGGGAGTTATCGGATAAATAGATTTTTGTAGCTTGCAGGGTATCCGATTTGTTTTCAGAAAATATATTATAAGTCTTGAATATTCGTCAATAAAGTTTAATACATATGATTTCATTCTAGTGGCGTGTTCTTGTAATCTTTTAACATCCGAATCATTACAGTGGCCCAATATTTTATGCCAAGTTCTTAAGTCGTGCGTGGCTGTCTTCGCAGACTTAATACTTTTCAAATAATACCAACGTCCATATTGCTGTATATTAAATTCAGTTCCGTCTGGATATTTTAAATTTAGGAATATATAAAGCCTTTCTTTTTTTTTTTAAAAATAAACATTTACAGTATTTCGTATCTAAACACAGGCGTAACCTCTTTTTAAAACTAAATTATTAGCTCTGGTGCCGTCAGCTAACTCGATAAAATGTGGGTCGAGCTCAAAATTGTGGTCAAAATTAACAAATTTTGTTTCATCTGTAATTACATGATTTGTCGCACCCATATTGACCAGGTACGAATCACAACTACTGGCCACAAACGCAAAGGCATATGTACGTCCATTCGAAGAAGTTTTTACATTTTTACAAAAGTCATTCCGTGCATAAAATTGACATTTCGCACGAATATGGCCGACATTACCACAACGAAAACAAACGATATCTCTTTTAGTATTTCCTCCTTTATAATTCTTGTAATAATTGTCTTGTTCTCAATATCATAATTCCTAGTCTGATCGGTTTGAGGAACTGGTTTTCTGAATTTTTTAAATGACATTCTCAATTGCATTACGTTATTGCCTTGATTCTGGTGGGTACACATTTAATATTTTTTCATAATTACGTAACGCAATTTTAAACTCAGTGAAAGTTAGTTGTTTATCTTTTTGAGTTATAACTGTCGTGAATGGTTTGAATGTCGGTGGTAAACCCTTTAAGACCATGGCTATTAGCAGCCCATCCGAGATAGTCTCTCCTGATATATTAAGGCATTTGTGACATTCTCTGCTAGAATAATTGGTTACTGATTCATTTTCTTGTCTCTTTAACTCGGTTAGTTCAGTATATAAAGCAATAATTTTGGGCTTACCTTTTGACAAATAGTATTCACGCAAATTCTTGTAGAGCTCGGCTTCCATTGTCCTTGGCCACTCTTATTATTAAAGACAAAGTACTGTCGTTCAGGAATTGTATTAATTCAGCGAACACGGTCGAATTTTTCATAAAATCATCATCCCCCCCTTTCCTGGTCGACTTTGCAAAGGATGATGTCATGGAGTTATTGTATTCAGAGATAGCCCAAAAACTTCGTCTCCCATAATTTATATCTCGATTCATTCCCGTCAAAATAAATCGTGATCTGGGCTCATAACCAATGTTACAAATTCATGACGGTCGTCCTCGAGTATAGAATCCAGAGGTTGGCAGTGAATACTTCGGAGACAGTCGAAAAGCGTAGTGCAAGTTAGCAGTGGATATCGCAGCAAAGTAGCAGAGCGTAGTTCTTCCGTCTGTCATGTTCGCCTGACAAGTTGGCTCTGGTCATTCCGGTAGGGTAAACAAAGATGGCCGCCTTTATACACGACGGATACAATGTTCTGCGGCTTCTGATTGGTCAACCTTCTATTGGTAGACTATAAAGAGAATTAAGTCATTTTGACTAACTCACTAGTTACACATATATATACACAAAAAACTGTAACAATCTCGATTAATAGCAGGGGCACCGGACCATGTGTGGGAGCAATATTCTAAGCATGAACGAATGGTAAGCCTTATAGATTTGTATGATAAATTCTGGAGAGAAAGATTGTCTCATAGGGCACAGAGAACCAACTTTCTTAACAGCTGACCTAGCAATGGATTCAATATAGACTTTCTACTTCTTGTTAGTTGAGAAAGTTAGTCTAAGAAGAAGACTCACTTTCCTGGAGGCTAGCAGAGAAGCTCATTTGGCGTCGATCATTGCTACAGCCTTCGATAAGAATTCTACATCCCTTCTTTTAAACTAGTCTTTGCATAATAGTTGCAATAGATTCGACGGATTCCATTTATTAACAGCAATTTTCAAATTTTACCACAAATGTTGAATTGAATTTGCACCAGAAAGGGCATTCCTTTATTCTAAACTCATTCTTCTTAAACCACTCTCAACAATATTTCGGTTCACTGTGTTTTTTGGCAGATGAAGCGCATAAGATGGATACCAAAAGCTTCGAAAGAATGTCCTGATCTTTTAGTAAATCGATTTTTATTTGAATTCCGGTAAATTTCCCAGTGCCTGCTACCGTAAATCAACCCCATTATCATGCTTCGCTGTATTTTTTCTTTCCTCCCAACATAACGTTACAGGTTATGTCATAAAAGTACAATTAAATTCCGGGAATCATTTAACAGATCTAAAATCTTTTTAACGAATGTTAAATCGTCCGGAAAACAATTTTAATTGTTCCAAATACATTAAATTTACATAGCCAAGATCGTTTGTTTTTTTTTTAAATTGACAGAACATTTTTTTAAATTAAATTAATTCAAAACAAAAACAGTATTTATACTTACTCACACTTCAATTAAGAAACCATATTGTTGGGAGAATTATAATAAAACAATGTTTGTTTTTTTTAATTAACAAAACAAAAGTTTTATTTTTCAAATTAAATTAATAAATCGAATTTTTGGGGGGTTCTGATAAAATGCAAATTGTATTAGGCGAACATTCCTTTAAAACATTTGAGTTATTTCCCTTGAATCAGCTCAGAAATATGGGACTAATTATTCTGTGATGTTCTCAACTTTCACATCAGTAAGATACAAAATTAAAAGAAAATATTTTTCTGTAACATCATAAATAGTACCAAAATAAATTATTAAATAAAGTAGAGATGAGTCTACTGCATGTGCACAAACCAATGCACAATTTCAAATAAAAACAAAACGGTGACTTTAGCGCCAAAACATTTAACTTTTTGTCTGAAAATAATCAACTAAATGGGATGTGATTTTAATTGATAAGAAAATTTACCTAGTCAATCACAATGAAACATTTATCACTACAATGAAACTTAATTAAAACAGTGGCAAATATGTTGAGAACGATCAAATGATGCAGGTATCTTTGCGGTGTATTATGAGCAGAGTAATGTTAATAAACCCTGTAGTATTTACGTTGTTCGGATTGTTTTCCCAATCTTTTTTGTCATATTCACGTCGTTTCGGCTGTTGTACACCCCGGTCGGCCTTCTTCAGGTGATATACTTTGGAATTTTGAACCGAACCCTTTATTTAAATAAAGGGTAAATTTTTCTAGTTCCACGTGCCATGACTTTTCTCAGTTCCAGTTAATTCCCTTTAGTAACTCAACAGTTCACCTCTACTGTGGCCAGGAATTGAACTCACAACTCTTTAGGACAAGTCACTTTTGGATTACTTCAACCAACGCTTTTATCCACTGGGCCATATGTCTCCAAAGACACATAGCCCAATGTCATGCGACCCGTGTTATGTGTCCCATGGGTTAAATAAAGTGTTCGTTTCAAAATTCCGACGTATATCACTTAAAGAGAGCCGGAGCGTACAACGCTCGAAACGTCGTGGATATGAAAATAAAGATGAGGACAATGTAAATAGTAGTAAATAGTCACAATACTTCATCTTAGAAGTATAAACAGAAACCCAGTAATATTTGTTAATGTACAGCAATCTCTGCTTGACCCTATTCCATTTGACCAGTGCATCTAGAAAAGACAATTTTGACATATTGGTCTCCAGGTTGACCTTAAGAAGCTTCTGTTTACGTTCTGACCGTGAGGAATGAAGATGAGGTTCTGAGTTGAGAACCTTGGTTCATAGCCAGCTGTGTGCACAGCCAATTTGCTAACCAGTTGAGCAAGTATAGTGAGTTTGAGAAAGTTTTTAGGTGATATCTTGATATCAATACCCCAAACTTCCACAAGCTGTCTACAGGGTAGTTTTGTCCTTTTGTCAACTTTCTTCAGCAGCTCCCACTCCAGTCGAAACTCAACAACATTGATAAAGGACAATTCTCTCCCATTTGTGGGTTTGCTCCTTCCATAGTGGGTAATTAGAATTTCGAACTCCTCCTCCTATCCATAGACTTTCAGTTCTTCCTCAAGCAGATGGAATGGAGACTTAACCTACCATATGCACATAACAGAGAGGTGTTTGTTACTTATCAATTTGTTAATAAATTCGAGGCACAGTTATTCCAGATTGAATATGGCCTTTGTAATCTGATGGTCTTTGTGATCCCTTGTACATATTTTACTGGATGTCTCTGGCAAATACTGTCAGGTTGAGAGATGTCATTTCCTTTTCCAGAAACTTAACAAAATCTAGCTTCAGTTTTGATAAAGCACATCCATATTTTCTGTGTATAGGAACTGGGATAAGACTGAATCAGGGGTCATGACATCCATCATCAGAACAATGATACTGATGAACTTTTGTTTTAAATCTTTTAGACCGTTTTTCTTTGGATCTTTAAGGAGATTGTTGTAGGGTCCGAATGTTGAGGTTAGACGAACCCCGCAAACATTAAAATTAAAGAAGTGACACAGGCCAAGGCAAAGATGAGGAGAACAAGGATTTTAAATAAAATATGTCAAAATTTATTATTGTCAGAAAAAGCGAAAATATAATAGAATAATCCAAATGTTTTAAATACCCTAAGTGATAGTGCTGTTAGTTAACTCTCTTAACTGCGACGATAGTTGATGATGACCGTAGCAACTCGAGTGGTGCCGAAGGTTGATAAACATTTGGTGTATTGGGTTGGTACCAGCTGGCATTCGTATCCCAGGGCAAACGACTGTTGTAAATCAGAAGATGAAGACGAAACTGCTTGAGAGGTGTCGAAGGACGGTAAGCAGCCAGCGAAGGTCGATAAACTGTCGGCGTGTTGAGCTGGTACTAGCAGGCAATCTAGCCGAGGGTAGACGGTTGAAACCACGGTGATCAGCGAGATGATGAACAACAGAGAATGATACCTGAATCATCGAGTGGACTTACAGAAGACTGGTCGGCGGGAGTCAGTTGGTCGCTGATGTTCGATGGTCGCTGGTGGTCGCTGCTGGCTGCTGGTCGCTAGTGGTGGTCGCTGATGATCGCTGGTCGATGCTGGTGGTCGCTGGCCCAGATACTACCCCATCATCTTCTTTTTTCCCGCCAGTATTTACTTTTGAATCTCCACTGAGTCAGTTTGGTTTAACGTGGGGGAACCCTAGTGTCTCCCCTTGGGCTACTAGTGAATTTCTTGTCTTAGCTAATCATAGCTTGACTTAACAAGTCATAGCCAGTCAAAAACTACGCTAGGGAAGAGATCCGAGGATTCCGTCCAAGCAGCGGGAGGAGGCCCCGGCATGGAACAGATACTACAACAGCATCACTTCCGACTCAGATTATCAGCCTGTTTTTGTTATATTTGATACAGTGAAGTTTTCATATAAAAAGCGAAACCATTTGTATTTTGTGAGCCACTGCTCGAGAAATATTTGCCTTTTAGGGAAGAAGATGAAGAGGATTGTAACTCTTCATCAGTTGACATCAGGCTCGATAAAGGAGAAGGCATATGTAGGTATAGACTCCACCTATTTACTCCCAGGGGAAGGGCTGAGCAGGCTTTGGAAGAGGCTCAGATGTAGATAAAGCAGAGAATGCAGCTGCAAAATTCTGGTCGCCACGAATAGGTTTTTATCTTTTTTCTTCCATGACATTCTTATAACTTCACTGTTCACGCAGGTAAAAATGCGATCACGTCTGAAGCATAATGTCTGTTCAGAACCAATCTGAGCATCACAAAATCACGACCGTCATTCAAGGAAATTTCATCAGAGCTAAATTTAAAATCTGTAGTTTGAGATGAAAGAAAGTCAGTTTTATCTGATGTCTGTAAAACAAAAGGATTTTCTTCGGGAAAATGAAAGGGAAAGTAAAAAAAAAAAGTCTTTCTCTTTCATTTTTTTATTATCCCCACCATTTTTCTCTCATTTCTTGCTGGTTAGAAACACTTCGACCGAAATTGACAAGTTGCGGTGAAGATCGTAGAGAAAGAGGATATAGGATAAAGAAGGAATACTTTTTATTGCCCGGGAGATAGTTAAATGTTAATGATTAGAAATTTGTTTATTTGGAAAGTTAGCTTTTTTTAAGATACAATTTATATTTCTACTGAGACTTTTCTTACTATATTGACTATGTTTTTAGATACGTCCACGCATCTCTAGAATAGTCTTGGCTTTTCCATCCGTCTGGAATACGATTTAGTAGATACCTGCAGAAATTCACTCAAGAAGGGGGATACATGATTAGAAAACAATAAAACCAAAATGTTATTGTTTGTATTATTATTAAGATAAAAGATCAAAAGGTTATATAAAAAAATAGTTTCCAACCTTTTTAGAACCTGGAAAATTTTGCTTAGATATCTTGTTTTTTTGTTTTTTTGTTTTTTTCTTTTTTTTGGCGGGGAGGGGTATTTTATTTTATTTATTTATTTTATTTATTTATTTATTTATTTTTGGGGCTTCAACGCTGGACTTTACATTTGTATAGAGAATTTGGACGCATTTTTCCGGAGAAAATCAAAGTGATTTGGAAATTCTTGCAAAAATCAGATAATTCTCGGATTTAATGAAACTATTAGGTATTATTTACAAATGAATGAATTTATTTTTAAGCGTTTCCTTTTTAGGATGTTTATAATATGTTTATTACATCTGTTACCCATAACCCGTTTATTTTTATGAAATTTCAAAAGATTATTTTTGTATCTCTTAAACTTCTTTAAGGAACCTCGAAGAATTTATTTAAATCATCAAAAGGTTTTGGTCAAACAGGACCCCCAGTTGCAGAAAATCTGCCCTGAATCAATAAAAAACTGCAATAAAATCTATGACATTATTTAATCAAAAAAGCTTTTAATTGCTTTTATTAATAAAATATATTATGGACATTATTGTCTTAAGAAAAACATTTGAGTAATAATTAATTTTTACAAGAATTGTTTTCTCTTTTTCTTAAATTTTAATGAGAATAATTTATACTTTTAAATCTTTTAAAATTATGCATTTGTAGCGATCGAGTGATATTTTTATTAAAATAAAAATATATTTAATAATCTTAAATCGAAAAGTTCGCTACAATTCAACCATTTCTAAATCAATGAATTTTAAAAAAGAATATTGAATTTATTTTGTGTACCGATTTTTGTAAATACAGATATTCATATACGACATTATCAAAAAAAATTCTAATTTATTGGTAGTTTTATAAGATTTTCTCTGCCAGCGTCTTCGAAACTTAGCCTATAAATCCAAAGTACCTAATATTCAATAAAATAGTAGACTACATAAAATATTCTCACAAATTTTTACGATTACTAATTAGTTTTAAAAGAATTATTTAAAAGGTGTTCATATTATATTCGTCAAGTCATTGTTAGTTCTGTTCTCCATATCTTTATTTCTCAAACATCATGCTGCCAATAAATCATTCAACACGTCTGAAAAACATCCCTCCATTTTAAAAATGTTTTCTGCTCTATTTTAAATTAAATGTAAGTAATATTTGCCCCAATTCAGATTAAGTAAAGGTAAAATCATCCAATTTTCGTCAAATAACGTTTCAGGAAATTGTATTTTATCTTTGAAAAAAAATTTTTCTAATGAAGGGAATTATTTTGTGTTGACAGTTATGTCAATATAGACGAATTTATCAATTTTGCTGATAAGTAGGAGAAAAAGATTCCAAATAATATAAATTCGGTTTGAAATGCACCAAAGTATTTTGCTTATTGGGAATATTGAATTTAATCTATTAACTTGGAATTAAAGCTCTGATTAAAGCTTCATAAAATATTTTTCATTTTTTAAATGCATTAAACTTAGGTGCCGCTTTTTTTGGCAAACTTGGACCTTCGAGTCCGAAAAAAAAAGGAATGTCAAAAGAACGGTTTTTCCCTTGACGCCGCTATTATTTTATTTTAACGGCAATCTTTATTGTTCCTCGAATTGTCATAAAACCTAAACATATGATGAAAACGAATTTATATATTTCTTTATTCTTGAGAATTAAACAAAAATATTAATAACTATTTATTTATTATATAGTTTATTTACAATTATAATTTTAAACTTACAACATTCTAAAAACTAATACAATTGTATTAAACTAATAGAGTGCAATATTTATCATTTACCAATTTATGAAGAAATAAATATGAAAACAATTTTTTATTCATAAATTTATGAACAATTACCGAATTATTAAAATTTGGGAACCAACTATAAGGAAATCCTTATAATTTACCATTTTATAAAATTTGAATCAATTAGCTGGTGCTTTGCCAACAATAATAAACAATCTTGTGATGTGTGTTCTTAGCGCATATATTTATTGTACATTTAACGATTCAAGAAAAAACAACGAAACTCCACTTGGGGATCAACAAATAAATATATATTGAAATATAACATACAAAACAATCATGCAATGAAGTGTAATGATTAAGGAAAAAAGTTGTTCCTCTTTAACTGTATTCTGATTTATGATTGAATGTTCAAAAGAGTTTCTCTTGAATAAGAATGTTCAGGATTCTATGTTGAATAGAGTCTGTTGTTAGAATAGAATACAGTTAATTAAGAAACGTGTTGTTTAGAGAAATTAATAGAGTTCTGGTTCATGAACATGGCTGAGTCACAGAGAGAGATATGTATAATGTGTTACAAAAATCTGTGTGTGTGTGTGTGTGTGTGTGCGTTTGAAATATTGTGAGTAAAGTCGTATATTTGTGTGGACAGGCGAAATAGATGGACTCTATTGGCAGCTGGTGGCAAAATTGCTTCTTTTAAAGGTACCGGTAGGCTCCCAGCGAAAACGCGGGAAAAACTGATTTAGTATTAAAATGTTTGATTGGTTAAAATTTGACCAATTATTGATTTTGTATCAAAGAAACATGTGAGCAAGTTCACGACCGAAAAATTCAAGTGATGACTGCGACTGCTAAATTGTCTTATAGAAAAGCAGTAGTGATTTAGTAGCCAATCACAGGCGAATCAATTGTGGGCGTGGAAAAGCATAGCAGTCGCTACAATCTAATAAATAGTGTTTATCATTTTTGTTGTAAATTCAATGGAACTGTATAAATTCACTTTCATTATATGATTAGGTTTTGTTACAAATCTAATCATCGCTTTTTAAAACAATAAATATTGCCGAGGAGTGAAGGTGGTTAAAATACTAGCCGTGGAAATAATGGAAAAACCGCCTTTCAGACACTCCTTTTTTTTGCGGAGACGAAGGTCCACGATTGCCGCCTTTTTTTTTTTTAGATGTACTTAAGTTTTACATTGTTGAAAGTAATACATTTTTGTATGTTTCATTTTCCAACGTAAAAATAATTAAAATTTATATTTATTTCCATGATTGGCTGACAGCCGGGTCCGAAATCATGAATATAACATTATTTGTCTGATACGCTTTCACTTTCTTGACTATTATCATGCCAAATGAAACAACTGCTGTAAAATTAAGTATCACCGCCAATCATAATAAATATGTCTACGCTTGTTCGTTAAAACATTTGCCCTAATCATTTAAAAAATACGTTTCATAATATATTTAACAACGAATATACAACATATGTTTAAAAAATAAAATATCTAGGTACTAATTACCATTAATATCAATCAAAATTCTCTTGACAAATGATTCGCGTTCAGTTACAGAAAAAATAAATTACTTATATCTTAAATTAAGTGTAGACGCTTGAATGGACTGATATTATAGTTTAATTAGCATCAAAGAACCACATATTCCCTTTTACTGTCTCATAAACGTTACGGGTTGATTGTGTGCAATGTACCGTTTTGAGAAAAGATTAGGGTGCGTCCCTGGGATACTCAGAGAGTTTACTGGGGCCTTTTTTATACTGTTAGTCACACACACACACACACATCTGTAGTCGATATTAAATTTGTCAAATTTTCTCAATTACAAAGCGGCCCTTTAAGTAAACGCAATTTCACTTTCCTTCGCCCCATCTCTCTCCCCCACCTCGTCTTTCCCTCCCTCTTATTCTAACATTAAATTGTCTATGGTGTGTGTATGTCACCACGAAATGTATCTTTATACATCCGACAACATTCATTTTTTTTCTCTCACTTAAACCCCTTCCATCCACCTCTCCTAATATTCTCTCTGTTAAGGTTTAATCCCCCACCCCCTCATACTTACACTCTCTCTAAATTCTGTTTTTATTTCCGGAGTGGTTTTTTCTGTTTTCCTTTTGAATTTGTAGGTCTGATGAATTGGATCGTATTTACGATTCCAAAGGAATAAATTATGATCATGGAATATTAGTGTTTAAGCCTTTTTATTATATATATATATATATATATATATATATATATATATGTGTGTGTGTGTGTGTGTGTGTGTGTGTGTGTGTGTGTGTGTGTGTGTGTGTGTGTGTGTGTGTGTGATAAAAATGCTTCTCATAGACAGATGAAAAGAAATTAGCGAGATAAAAAACAACAAAAATAATGATATGGGTAATAAGACTTTTGTAGCATACCTACGGATGATAATAGGTTTATCCCCATTCACATAACTACAGTATTAAATACTCTATGTTGATCTGCAGTTGGAGATTCGTCTCCAGCTGTGTTGGTCAAACTCTCTGCCTGCGGACAGAGAGGATCCCCAAACAAGGTTATGCCGAAGGGCAGAATCTCGTCTAGGGAAACAGCTACCAGACCCCGTTTTATACGGGTTCTACAGGGAATTTTCGGCCGAGACTACGGGCTCGGATACCCCACATTAAATTCGGCCTTGTGCCATATCTGACCGCGCGGGGCGGTTGGTAGATATCCTGCATTTAGAGATTCGTCTCCAGTTGTGCTGGTCAAACTGTTTGCCACCGGGCAGAGAGAATCCCCGACAAGTCTATGTTGAAGGGCATCTACTTGCTTCAGTCCGCCAGGTATGTCACGCGTTGTTTTCCCTTGTCTCTCTTTCACTCTTTTCGACCCGTGAGTATCAGATTCTCCAGGCCCTCCTTTCTCATTATGTGTCCCAGATATCTTCCTGATATTAAGTATAAGCCTCCTCCTTGTTTACAACCTCTCTAAGATCTCATCGTTGCTCACACGCTCGGTCCATGATATCTTCAGCATCCTTCTACAGAACCACATCGCTGTCGCCTCGAGTCTCTTCTTAATCTTTGAGAAAAATCGTTCAACATTCGCTGTCGTAAAGAAGGACAAATGTCACGTAACAGTTCTGTATTCTTTTCTTTTCCTGCTTCCGAAAGATAGAAGCATGATGAGAAAGATGTTAAAATCGGAATTTTCGGAGGCGACTGTGTCCTATCTTAACGAGCTGATAATTAAAAAAATGAATTACTGACGAGATTTGATAATTTAGAGCAAGTTGTTTGCCACGATTAGGGTTGTATATGTAGGTAAATCGCAGGGCAAACTGGGCCCTATAGCCTTGCTTGGCAACAATTCTAGGAGAAGGGAAAACTCTGAATCTAGACCAGCCTAGAAAGCGGCTGAGCTTATTATAGGAACCAACGACTAACGTGCAGCTAGGAGATGGAAAACTCATTTCCAAATCGTAGCATCATTTGATTTGATGTGTCACGCAGTACACCAGTTACTGGACATAGTGATGGAGAGAATATGTATTGCAGGACACTAAATTGACCACTTTAAACAATTCACCTGTACAGGTTGGTCTGTAAAAACTTTATTTTGTTCTTTTATGTTTTTTACTCATGACCCAACAATAGTTGCTGCCATCTTGTCTGGTGTCGCCTGCCTAAATACTGACCTATCATAAACTTTACTCAACTGAACCAATTTACTGAATCCACATCCGACATTCTCGGTGGGAGAATCCATATATATATATTAGGTTGAGTCATAAATAAGTTCTTTTTTTGTTTATCAAGTTTATTCTTGAAAAGATAAAGTAGGATTGTATTTTGTTCAATTACATATTCACCATTATTTGCAATTGGTTGTTGCCACTTATCAGGCAGCTTTTTCGATGCTTCATGAGGAATAATATTCAGGTTTTGGTGTGAAACAGTTTTCAACGAAACTCTTGAATTTTATTTATTTAATAGTGGTTTTAGTAATAAGATTTTTACTAATTATCCCATATGTGGGGGAGAAGAGGTGGATGTATACCTTTCCCAAGAGTATTTTCACGTGGGTGAATATAACGGACCCTGCTGGAATTGGAAATCGGCCCCATATTAACAATTCCATTATACATTACACCCCTCTCACATCAAAGCTTACAGCACCTGGTATTCGCAAGTGGTCACCCATCTAGGTACTAACCTGCCTCGACGTTGCTTAACTTCGGTGATCGTACGGAAATTTGTGTTTCAACGTGATCTGGCCGTAAACCTAGTTGGTACATGTTTAAGTGAAGTAAACAGACCAATTTAGTTTCAAAATGTTTCAAAATATTTTCTTTTGTTATACGGGCTTGCGTTGTCACGCGGGAGAACAATATCGTCTCCTGATGACGAGTGCGGGCACATTTCGACAAAACATTTATGGACACGTTGCAGCTGATAGATGTATAAATGTGCGTTTTAAAACATTAAATGAATAATACTACGATGATCCAACCACACGTACAACATTATCAGTCATCCATACAGATTAAGGGTCGGTTGAGAAAATTTTCCCCTACTTACTTACTTACTTTTGCATTGATCCTTGTCGTACGTAACACACATATCATCAACTGTTATGACATATTTAAGGAGCAGTTTGTTAGGATGATACATTCATTTTTTACAATTGAATCTCAAAAACAGATATTACTTCTCACAAACACACACACACTTACACAACACACACACATACATACATACATATATATATATATATATATATAGAGAGAGAGAGAGAGAGGGGGGGCAGAGAGAGAGAGAGAGAAAATAACCCAACAAAGAGGTGGTGGGAAAGTACCAGAACAAACCCTACTTAAACAAAAACTGAAAAAATGTGGGTCTTGGCTTAAGAAAAAAGAACAGTACGCAATGCCTACAAAGAAACTAGAAATGAGAAGCCAAAAAAAAAACAGAGATGTAACAACAACAACAACAACAACAACAACAACCAGGAATAGGAGGAGGACAAAAGACATACGTAACCGTTACTCTGAGTTTCACGCTAGTCACTAACGATTACTATTAGGATCATAATCGTCTGAGGATCGTAGTTAGCGTGAAACTATTAGTAAAGGTTATAGATTGGTGCTTCTCGACGTATTCCAGATTACTGTTATATATATATATATATATATATATATATATATATATATATATATATGTATGTATGTATGTAGGTATATATGTATATGTATAAGTACTCTTCTAGCATTATATATATATACATATAGATAGATAGATAGATAGATAGATAGATAGATAGATAGATAGATAGATATGTAAGCACTCTCCTAACATTTTAGATATAAATAAATATATATATATTCAGTTGTATGAAAATGAGTATGTGGCCCTGTGTTTCACGCTTTGTCTGATGATAGCAAAAGCGTAAAACCCAGGGTCACAAACTCATATCATTACAACTGAATAAGTTAGCTCTATCACTGATATTGAACGCTTTCCACTAAGTACTGCGTATATAAAATAATATACATATATATATATAGTTTTAAAATATGCTATATTTGTGGGTTAAATTGCTCAATATTAGGAACAGAACGTATGTAAATATAAAAGTGGAAACTGAAATCAAGAACCAGCAATGACAGTATGTTCTATGCTTATACGCAATCGTCAGACCATCGATTTCGTATAAGCATATATATATATATATATATATATATATATATATATATATATATATATATATATATATATATATAGCTCAACTGATTGATGAAGCGGCTCATTTGGTTACCACATGAAAAATAGAATCAATGGCTGAAGTACATTTTCTATTCTTTTATGTCTTTTACTCATGACCCAACTAAAGTTGCTGCCATCATGTCTGTTGTCGTGTGCCTGTTACTTAATACAGACCTGTCATAAAATTAAAACAAATTGCTAATCTGGATTTTACATGAAGGCCAAACGCTCGTAAGCGGTGACACGTCACTTCTGTTCTTAAGTCATTTTGTCATCAAACTTCACCAACTTGTCATCGGAATGAAATGGCGGCCATTGTAAAATTAGCAATTCAGGAAGGAAAATTGCAAATTCACCTTTGCGCAAAACCGACAGAAGAGTCATCCGAATAATAAGCTTAATATGACGCTAGAACAATTTTCCATTAATCTACCTGAATGTCTGCTTCGGTTGGCTCAAGTCGGCTGGGTATTAGGATTCAGATATTAAGAGAGAGGCATCAAAATTCGGCTTAACGTGGAATCATGTCGTTTAGTTTCTTCCCTTATCGAAACATTCATTCAAGGAAGTGGATAATTGAAACATCGCTTTTGAAAATGATGAGAAGTGTTGAAGATTGGACTCTCAAAAGACTTTTATTATTTTCATTGTTGATATTTACTGGGCTTAGTATGATTCAATGGCAGAGTTAAACAAGAAGATTGTGTGACGCCAAGTGTACTTGCGCAGAAAATTAGTATTTGAAATCATGGTTTTATTATCAGTACTTGGACAGCAGCCTCTGATGCTGGTGGGAAACAATTAACTTTTCCAGGCTCGTAGCAAGCTTCTAATTGCTAACAAGCTTAGAATGGCATGGCACAAGACTACAAATGGAGCATTCTTAGTAAGGGCCAGCCTCACTACTGTAGTAATAGTCTAAATTTTATGTTATTTCTTTTCTTTCTAAACAACGGATATTTGATTCTAATGTGTGTCAAATTTTCACATCGACTAACATGCTATTTATTAAGCACACATCCTCATCACCCATCTGGGTGAGGTCGCAGGGTCATTGAACAGCTAAGCACCTGACTAGTTCCAATCACATATCTCGGTTAAAAGTAGAGAGCTATTCATTCACGTTCAGCGTGCCTTGGTTAGTTAAACCTACATTATTAGACAATAGTGTCACAATTGAATGGGTGATCTGTTTGTTTTTTACGGCTTACAGCCCTTTGCAGGTTATTTGAAGCCAGAAAATATTTTTAGATTTGTAACCAGGGCTATTGAAACTTAGAGAGTTGTGTCTCTTTAATTGTTTTATCATTTAAAGCGGAAATGGCGGAGTAAACAAGTTGTGTTAACACTTGTGTCCGATTTAAATTAATAAAACCCAAATACGAAATATATCAAGGTGGACCGGATGAGCGATATGAAGTGAAACAACCACACTTAAAGATAAAGTGCAAATACAAATACCACAAAAAAAAAATGTCAGGACATCACGATAAATACGTGAATTTTGCTTTCTTATTTTAAAAGTAAAAGAAGCGCAAAAAAAAAAATGGCGATTTCATTGCCAATATTGGACTGGACTAATGAAAACAAACATGAAGCTTTTAGCGAATAGGTCGATTTCATGTCTTCATATTTCACTATCAACAACATAGAGGAAAAAATAAAACGTAATTACATTCTTCAGCGCAGAGGACACAGGGGTCAGGAAGTAATAAAAATTACACAGCTGATAAAAACCAAACAAATGGATCGAACAAGTTTACTTAGGTATCTTCATAAAATTGTTAAAAAAAAGCATAGCATGATAAAAGCAGCCTTAAACTTAATGAAAAAAAAAACATATTATTTTCTAAATGTTTATGTTGTTATTAAGAGAAAAGACCAAAGTATTTTTTGATTATCTTTTGAAAATTTTTAATCCTACTTAGCATGTCCGAAATTTTAGCTAAAAATCTTGTTTTTTTTCTCTTTTTTGTGGGAGGGGTGTGAGTCAGCGAAATTACTAAAATTCGATATTTCAGACATTTTTTTAGAATTTTGTAAACAGAAGTCAAATTCTCCGTTTAAAAATCTTGAAAAAATCAATTATACCTTTTTCAAAATTTATTTGGAGAAAATTAGAAAATTTAAAGTTTATTTAATATATTTTGGAAGAGACATTACTTACTTTCTTCGCAAACAAAATGTAGTTTAAAATAAGAGAAAATATGTCTTAACAACGGTGATTATTAACAAGTGACCAGCATCTTTTTTTATTATTTTTTAAGTACTTTAGCTTTCACCTCACGATTCTTGATACTTTCTGGAGAAATTAAAAATACGATAAAAAAATTAAAATGATAAATGTTGAGTGAGATAAAATTTCATAAGAAAGGTATATAAAATTATAGTATAATTTCATTTACATTTATAAAATTTTAGGGTATTATTTTTATTTTTATCTCAGTTAGTCTAAAATCGTTATGTCATTATTAAGAGGAAGGTTCAAAGTATTTTTTTATTATTTTTTAAAAATATTTTACTTTTTTTTTTAATATTCGAAATGTTGATTGATTAAAAAACTTGTTTTTCTTGCGTCAGCGGTTGTACTAACTTTAAGTATAGAAATCTTTCACCTCTTTTTTGCGAAAATCAAATAATTCTCAGAGCTTAATGAAATTTTCAAGACTTATTCACAAATTAAAGAAATTATTTTTTTTTTGTTTTTTGTTTTTTACATGTGTTTCTCCCCCTTACTAATTTTATGAAAGCTTCAGAAATTCATCGAGATAATTTGTAGTGACTATATTAGTTAACAGCAAAATTATTTGAAGAATTTAAATCATCGATTTTGTTTTGTAAAATCGGACCCGGTCTAACTGAAATCTGTTCTGAATTAAAAAATAAAAAAAGTAATAAAACTAATATATTATTTAATTAGAAAGGCTTTTAATTGCGTTAATGAATAATATATATTAATGACAATATTGTCCGAAGAAAAAAAATTTGATTAAAAATGAATTTTTACAAGATTTGTTTTCATTTTTTACAATTTAAAATTGAATAATTCATAAAGATTTTGCATCTTTTAAAGTTCAACTTTTTAGGGAATATTGTTATTAATAAAACTATATTTACTAATCATATATTTTAAAGCTTATTACAATTTAAACATCCCGACTATTTTTATTTTTCCGTCGTCAATAAATCAATTAACACATCAGGGAAAACACATGATGTCTTTAATTAATATATTCACTAAAAACCACATCATTGAATTTCTAGAGTTTTCATACAATTAGTTTAGCGGGTGTAACAGATATAAAATATTTTTACCATAAGTTTCAAAATAAAAAAAACATATTTAAAATAATTTCAATCATTTGTGAATAAATCCTGAAAGTTTCATTAAAATCCGACAGCTTTTTCTTTTTGCAAGATTTTCAAAATTAACGTCTGTCACTGCAAAAAAATGGCGCTAAAATTTGCAATGTTATTTAGTGGTGAAACTTTTGCATAGAGAAACATGTTTTTTTAATCAAAAGTTAGAATGTTCTAAAAAAGATGCGATTTTTTTTTTAAATAATCAAAAAATACTTTGGTCTGTCCTCTTAATAAAAACATAAACATTTAACCGATAAAATTTCGTTTTCATCAAGTTTAAGGCCGTTTTTATCATGCTATGCTCTGTTTTTTTTTATCGATTTCATGAAGGTACCTAAGTTTACTTCAATTCAGCAGAAATAAGAAACAGTTGACAAGTATTTGGGTAGACTGCAGACAAAAGCAGAAAGATGTGATTTTGTCGCAACAAAGAAGAAAGAATCCTGGAATAATTAATAAAAGGACTGAAATATGCAGACGAAAGAAGAAACCTTATAAGCAAACTAAATCACATAATGAAGATAGTTATAGAAAGCATAAGAGCATACGAAGCTACAACAAAAAGCGACACACGTTACAAGAATGCCAATGAAGGAAAAGCTGGAAGATATCATGAAATAGCGATAAGAAGTACCAGACAGTGTACAAGGTGCGGAAAAAGTCAAGGTAGAAGAAAAGAGGACTGCTATGCTTACAACAAAGAATGCAGAAGATTCCACGGTTTACACCATTTTAAAAAGTGTTGCCTGACAAAAACACTCACGACAAAACAGAAAGCCTACATACAATGAAGAAAAGGGGTTCATATAGAGCCAGAAAACAAAGTCCACACTACTGGCATAAGAAGCCATTTACAGAAAACAAAAATGAAAGCCACACATAAAACAGAAGATGAACTAGACCAGGAAGACGTCTTATATTTATATATTATGAAAAAATTCACAGCGAAGAGTTGTTTACCAACATAGACTGTGAAGTCATATGGAAGGAAACACAAAATAGAAATAAAAATGGATATTTGGTCCAACGCTAACTGTTATGGGGTGCACCCCTTTTTCATACAAGTGGACTCGACCAGTGTGTACATGTACTGCTGCCGGTGAATACCCGGGAGTAACAGAGAAGGGAGAGATACACTGATACAGTGATATAGTGAGAGTGTAAGGTAATCACTTTGTAGGAGTCACAGTTGCGAGCACGTAGACTCAGAAGGAAGTCCTACTTCGATACTGAATTTCCCAGACTATATATATATTATTATTGCTACTAACCGCATTTCTGGATCTACTAACCGTATTGCCAATTGTATCATTACATCAATACATTTATTTGCGATATTTCATTCCTGTTTGTCATTCATTTGAGACCGGATTTCATCCCGGAATCCACAACACTAATATAATACCATTAAGTATATACAAAAAAATGTATCCCCAGGACATTGACAACATACTGACAAATCTATAAGTATAAAAATGAAGCGAACAGTAAAAGGCAGCAAAATTCCAGAGTACAGTTCATTAATCTTCAACATTAGACACAAAACCTCAGTAACCATCCGAGATAAATATTTTGTGTATGAGAATGACACAACAATATTAGGTCTAAGACCGTGCGTGAATTTGAGCTTGGTGAAAATAAACTGTAGTATGACAACAACAAAGATAAAAAAAAACAACTGCAAAGCATAGAAGACAGATTTCAAGGCATCGGAAACTTTCCAGGTAGACAAAAAAATTACATTGTTGAAAATGTTAAACCAAGAAAATACCGAGTACACTTAAAAGATGAAACGAAGAAAGAATTATACAAAATGGAAGACGTTGGTGTGATCACAAAAGTAAACGATGGATTGGTGACTAAAGGTCAGAGTCATACCAAAAAGTATGCAAAACAATGTCTTTCAAAGAATTCTTGATATTCTCCAAGGAATAGAAAAATGTCAACTAAAAGCAAAAAATAGTGTTTATTGGAGAGGAATAAACAAAGATATTAGTAAGGACATGTGTGATATGCAACGAGCATCAAAGAAAGAATAACAAAGAGACAATGATCGTTAAAGAACATCCAACCAGACCATTCCAATATATTGCAGTTGGCACCTTAGGCTTCAATGGTTAACAAATTTTACTTTTCGCTGACCAATATAGCAAAATGCAAAAAGGAATGAAGAACGTGAAAAGAGTGCAAATTGCATCGAATAATTCAAAGCGGTTCATGGCATACCAAAACGCTTGTACACAGACAATCATACCAGATTATGTAAATGCAATTGCATGTAGCAGGAAGAAAAACGGTGAATTACGGATATGCTTAGATACAAAATCACTGAACAAATTCATTAAAAGAACCTACCACAAAACTCCAACCCTTGAAGCCATTTCTCATAAATTGGCTGGTGCGAAACATTTTACAAAATTAGATGCTAAACATGGATACTAGTCAATACATCTTGATGAAGAATCAAGTTTATTCACATGCTTCAATCCACCGTTTGACAGATACAGATGTCACAGGACTTATATCAACAAAAAATGAACCAAATACTGGAAAATTGTGAAGGAATCATTGGCATATCTGACGGTATCTTCGTATACGTTAAACCAATCCAAGAACATGATGAAAATTTGAGGACAATGGATACAGCCAGAAGGCATGATCTAGTATTCAATTAACAAAAATGCAAAATAAGACAAAAACAGATAAACATTTCATGGTCTTATTTGGGATGAAAATGGTTTGCATCCAGACCCAGAGAAATACGACAAAATCAAATCAAAACCTACACTTACAAACCGAGAACTTCAGCAATTTCTAGGTATGATCCAATACCTAAGCCCTTTCATACCAGAACTTAGTTCCAAAACAGCTCCACTGAAATCACTACTCAAGAAAGACACTGAATATCAATGAAACAAAACACACGAAAAAGCTTGTCAAGAACTAAATTATTGTGTTCATGAAAAGCTCTGTCTAGATTACTTCAAACCTAATGCAAAGATTCAAGCATGTTAGGCGAAGATGCAAAATTAATCAATGACGGCAAAGTTGATGCACTTGCCAGCAAAAAAACTAAGTGATGCAAAATCAAGGTATGTAAACATAGAAAAAGAATTGCTTGCAATTTGTTGTGAAAGATTTTACACACACATATATATATATATATATATATATATATATATATATATATATATATAGAGAGAGAGAGAGAGAGAGAGAGAGAGAGAAAATCATTTCAAATTGTATTAGACCACAAACCACCAGAAAACGTACAGAACAAAAACATTGCACAAGCACCCCCAAGATTGCCGTTAAGGCTACAATCATATGATGGATATTTACTTGACCCTCCACTGAGTCAGGTTGTGACACAAGGTCAGTTTTTAACGTGGGAACCCGAGTGTTTTCACTCGGACCGGTAGTCTAATCTGGTCTTAGCTGGTCATAGATTGTCCAAGCTGGTCAGAGTTGGTCTAAACTAGTCATAGCTGGTTTTAGCTGGCAATACATAGCTTGTGCAAGCTGGTCAGAGCTGGTCTATGCTAGTCATAGTTGGTCCAGTCCCCAGCCGGTCCAAGCTAGTCTTAGCTGTGATACCACCAGACCAGGGACGGAGCCCTGGGACAGGGAAGTATGACTACAATCAAATGATGTTCAAATTATGTACAAGCCAGGTAAAGAAATGAGAATATCAAGAGTGCAACCAACACAAGGCAAAGAAATTAACATAAATATAGCAATAAATACTGTTAATATATCAGCGCAAAAGACAAAGAACTTACAAGAAGCTACATAAGAAAATGAAAGGTTGAGAATGTTAAAAATGTTAATGTTAATAAATGGATGGCCAGAGGATGTGAAAGATATACCCAAACTTATAAGAAATTACAGATCAGTGAAAGAATGTCCATCAATACAAGATAGATTGGTGACTAAAGGTCATAGTCATACCAAAAAGTATGCAAAACAATGTCTTTCAAAGAATTCTTGATATTCTCCAAGGAATAGAAAAATGTCAACTAAAAGCAAAAAATAGTGTTTATTGGAGAGGAATAAACAAAGATATTAGTAAGGACATGTGTGATATGCAACGAGCATCAAAGAAAGAATAACAAAGAGACAATGATCGTTAAAGACCATTCCAATATATTGCAGTTGGCACCTTAGGCTTCAATGGTTAACAAATTTTACTTTTCGCTGACCAATATAGCAAAATGCAAAAAGGAATGAAGAACGTGAAAAGAGTGCAAATTGCATCGAATAATTCAAAGCGGTTCATGGCATACCAAAACGCTTGTACACAGACAATCATACCAGATATTTCATGTCATGTGAATTCCACAATTTTGCCACTGAGTGGGAATTCACACACACCATATCCAGCTCGAGATGCCCACAATCAAATGGCTTCATTGAACGAATGGCTCAAACATTAAGAAATACTATGATAAAAGTAAAACAGTCAAAGATGGACCACCAAATGCCTTTTCTGTGGCTAAGAGCAACCCAACTTGACAGCCTTTCGCCGTCTCTAGCAGAGATCATATACAATACGAAAATAAAAACAAGGATCCCAACTTCATTGAACACTAACTCTCCTAAGACAATCGGCTACGGGCACAAATGAACGACAAAAGCAGGAAGTAACAATAGCATTAAAACAGAAATGCAAAAGACCTTCCTGAATTCATTATAGGATGCAAAGTGCCTGTCCTTCAAGAGAGTGACACATGGCTGCCAGTAACAGTGATGGATAAATACACAGAACCATGTAGTTATATTATCAAAATGCAAAGCGACTGAACTACTCAATCGCAACAGGCCACAGTTGAAGGAACTATAAAGACCGCAGAGACGGTTCACTTTTTACCTACCAGCTCAAGGGATCAGGCAGAGCTCTCCATCATCATCATCTTATAGGAGTACATATCCCACAACAAGCTCAATGGATCAGGCAGAGCTCTCCATCATCATCATCATCTTATAGGAGTACATATCCCACAACAAGCTTCAACGCCCAACTCACTGCAGCTCAGCATGTACAATCCATGCAATTGCAGACACAAAGTGAACAAATACCAGGCCACTCACCAACACCATTGAACCATTCTAGAACACTAAATCCCCTCCAACGACAAAATTTAATATAAATATTAAAAAATATAATTAAAATAATATTTTTTTATTATTATCTCCAAAGAGTGGGGTATGCGGACAATTTTATTTTGAAACACTCTAATTTGAGAACATTATTTTTTTTCATTTGATAAGAGGAATGTACATGGAGCTATTGAAAGTTAGAGAGTTGTGTCCCTTTCATTGTTTTATAAGTAGAAACAAAAATAGTGGAATAAACAATTGTATTAACCAGTGTGTCAGAGTTAAATTAATAAAACCCAAATAGGAAATATGTATATCAAAATTGAAAGTATTTCTTGAAGATAATATGGATTCACTGTTAGAAGGTCTACTTATTAACCCATGACTGGAAGAGGAAGAGATGGAAGGGTATTTACGTGCAGTGAATATAATGAACCTGAATACGGCTCTGTCCACTTGGCAACTCCGACCACATGGTACTATCTGTAGGTATGTCTTTCCGCTCACCTATTAGGCAAAAAAACCCTGTTAAGAAAACATCTTTCTGTTATCAACGCACTGTTTGGGACTCATTTCGTGATTTTCTTTGCGATGCCCCTTAGAATAACATTTCTCTTGCCTGTTCAATAACTATAGCGCAGAGGAATCGTTTTTTCGACTTCTTCAGTCTGTTATAGTTGGATCTGTCGCGTTGCCATACCAACGCAGAAGATCCATCTATTGAATCGAAAAATTCATCAAGTCACGTTTTAAGTTCCACGTCGTTGAACGAAACACCCCTCAAATTGTTAAAAAGCGTCCGAAAAATGTGGTAGTTTGACGAGTCTAAATGAAGAGAATATAGTGGGTGAGGTGGAACCTCCTAACCGAGCTCTTTAATTTCATGTTTGGTCATGTTAACGACGTTGGTGTGAACATTTGTCATGTTGAATAATCATACTGTATCGCCGGTCAGGTCTATACAGTTGAATATGCCTCTTTCAGCCTGTTCATGTGTTCAACATACAGCTTTGGTTGTTTAGAAACATTTCGTCTCCGTACACAGCACAAATGTCTTGAACAGCTTTAGCAGCTTTGTGACTTTGATTAAAAGCAAAGAGAAGATGTCCGATATGCTAATTCTTCTCTACTTGGCATTCTATCTGACCTGAAATAACATTTTAATAACGTTTTCATAGGATTACCAGAGTTACTAAGAAGCAAAACGAAAACATTATTCTTCGAGATTATTCGCAGAATATTAGAAAAAACGAATGAATATATGTAACAGCGTAATATATTATTGTGCAGTGGAACAATGGTGATTATTAGTTTCACAATGATTGAGGTCTTTTACTGTACAAAATTCAACTTTGAAAATATCTTCACATCTGAACAATAATGATAATAAATGATAAAAGTTTTTATTAAAGAAAAAAGAAGCCTTTTAATTTCGCTCTGATTTTCTTGTATAAGGAGATATCATTATTTGCAATCAGACTAAAGTCCGCATCATTGTCGTTATTATCACAACCTCGTTGTGCCTTATGGTCTTAGGGGTCATATGTAACGAGGTCCATGTCAAACTATCCACCTTTTCTCCCCATGGAGCCACGGGTCCAGTTTCTGCATACTTCAAAGTGCTTATGCTCCTTTATATGCCATGTACCCTCAGGCCCCAGGTAATTATATTTCTCTATAACTTCCTGTCCTTTGTAGCTCTTAATGAATTTGTTATTCCTCCTAAGCCGTCTTTAGCCATTTATTTAATCAAGCTCACTAAGTATGTTATGCGTTTTCCTTTGTTCCTCTTGCCTTCAATCTGCCCTGTGAGTACCAGATTTTTCAAGCCCTCTTTCCTCATTATGCGCCCTAGACATTTCAACTGTCTCTTCCTGATGTTAAGTATGAGATTCCTTTTTGTTTCCATTTTCTCTAAAACTTTGTCGTTGTTCACATAATAGGTCCATGGTATCGCCGGCGTCTTT